ATATTGTTATGGTAGTGATAGTCAAATATTGTTATGGTAGTGATAGTCAAATATTGTTATGGTAGTGATAGTCAAATATTGTTATGGTAGTGATAGTCAAATATTGTTATGGTAGTGATAGTCAAATATTGCTATGGCAGTGATAGTCAAATATTGTTATGGTAGTGATAGTCAAATATTTGTTATGGTAGTGATTAGTCAAATATTGTTATGGCAGTGATAGTCAAATATTGTTATGGTAGTGTTTGTCAAATATTGTTATGGCAGTGATAGTCAAATATTGTTATGGTAGTGATAGTCAAATATTGTTATGGTAGTGATAGTCAAATATTGTTATGGTAGTGATAGTAAAATTTATTGTTATGGTAGTGATAGTCAAATATTGTTATGGCAGTGATAGTCAAATATTGTTATGGTAGTGATAGTCAAATATTGTTATGGCAGTGATAGTCAAATATTGTTATGGTAGTGATAGTCAAATATTCTTATGGTAGTGATAGTCAAATATTGTTATGGTAGTGATAGTCAAATATTGTTATGGTAGTGATAGTCAAATATTGTTATGGTAGTGATAGTCAAATATTGTTATGGTAGTGATAGTCAAATATTGTTATGGCAGTGATAGTCAAATATTGTTATGGTAGTGTTAGTCAAATATTGTTATGGTAGTGATAGTCAAATATTGTTATGGTAGTGATAGTCAAATATTGTTATGGTAGTGATAGTCAAATATTGTTATGGCAGTGATAGTCAAAAAATTGTTATGGGAGTGATAGTCAAATATTGTTAGGGTTTAGTGATAGTCAATATTGTTATGGTAGTGATAGTCAAATATTGGTATGGTAGTGATAGTCAAATATTGTTATGGCAGTGATAGTCAAATATTGTTATGGTAGTGATAGCCAAATATTGTTATGGTAGTGATAGCCAAGTATTGTTATGGTAGTGATAGTCAAATATTATGGTAGTTATAGCCAAATATTGTTATGGTAGTGATAGCCAAATATTGTTATGGTAGTGATAGCCAAATGTTGTTATGGTAGTGATAGCCAAATATTGTTATGGCAGTGATAGCCAAATATTGTTATGGTAGTGATAGCCAAGTATTGTTATGGTAGTGATAGTCAAATATTATGGTAGTGATAGCCAAATATTGTTATGGCAGTGATAGCCAAATATTGTTATGGTAGTGATAGCCAAATATTGTTATGGTAGTGATAGTCAAATATTGTTATGGTAGTGATAGCCAAATATTGTTATGGTAGTGATAGTCAAATATTGTTATGGTAGTGATAGTCAAATATTGCTATGGCAGCGATAGTCAAATATTATGGTAGTGATAGCCAAATATTGTTATGGTAGTGATAGCCAAATATTGTTATGGTAGTGATAGTCAAAATTTATTATGGTAGTGATAGCCAAATATTGTTATGGTAGTGATAGCCAAATATTGTTATGGTAGTGATAGCCAAATATTGTTATGGTAGTGATAGTCAAATATTGTTATGGCAGTGATAGCCAAATATAGTTATGGTAGTGATAGTCAAATATTGTTATGGCAGTGATAGCCAAATATTGTTATGGTAGTGATAGTCAAATATTTTTATGGTAGTGATAGCCAAATATTGTTATGGTAGTGATAGCCAAATATAGTTATGGTAGTGATAGCCAAATATAGTTATGGTAGTGATAGCCAAATATTGTTATGGTAGTGATAGTCAAATATTGTTATGACAGTGATAGCCAAATATTATGGTAGTGATTGCCAAATATTATGGTAGTGATAGCCAAATAGTATGGTAGTGATTGCCAAATATTATGGTATTGATAGCCAAATAGTATGGTAGTGATTGCCAAATATTATGGTAATGATAGCCAAATATTATGGTAGTGATAGCCAAATATTATGGTAGTGATAGCCAAATAGTATGGTAGTGATTGCCAAATATTATGGTAGTGATAGCCAAATATTATGGTAGTGATAGCCAAATATTATGGTAGTGATAGCCAAATAGTATGGTAGTGATTGCCAAATATTATGGTAGTGATAGCCATATAGTATGGTAGTGATAGCCAAATATTATTGTAGTGATAGCCAAATCAAGACTCGCCTGAGAAGCTTTGGTCACATATCAGCAGAGTGGATGTCAAGGTGTAGGTCATAGTTTAAAATGTGGGTCACAGGTTAATGTGGGTCACAGGTCACAGGTCACAGGTCACAGGTCACAGGTCACAGTGTGGGCCACAGGTTACAGTGTGGGTCACAGGTTACAGTGTGGGCCACAGGTTACAGTGTGGGCCACAGGTTACAGTGTGGGTCACAGGTTACAGTGTGGGCCACAGGTTACAGTGTGGGCCACAGGATACACTGTGGGTCACATTTTACAGTGTGAGGTACAGGTTACAGTGTTGGTCACAGGTTACAGTGTGGGTTACAGGTTACAGTGTGGGTCACAGGTTACAGTGTGGGTCACAGGTTACAGTGTGGGTCACAGGTTACAGTGTGCGTCACAGGTTGCAGTGTGGGCCACAGGTTACAGTGTGGGCCACAGGTTACAGTGTGGGCCACAGGATACACTGTGGGTTACATTTTACAGTGTGAGGTACAGGTTACAGTGTTGGTCACAGGTTACAGTGTGGGTCACAGGTTACAGTGTGGGTCACAGGTTACAGTGTGGGTCACAGGTTACAGTGTGGGTCACAGGTTACAGTGTGGGTCACAGGTTGCAGTGTGGGCACGGGTTTTACAGTGTGGGCCACAGGTTACAGTGTGGGCCACAGGATACACTGTGGGTCACATTTTACAGTGTGAGGTACAGGTTACAGTGTTGGTCACAGGTTACAGTGTGGGCCACAGGATACACTGTGGGTCACAGGTTACAGTGTGGGTCACAGGTTACAGTGTGGGTCACAGGTTACAGTGTGGGTCACAGGTTACAGAGTGGGTCACAGGTTACAGTGTGGGTCACAGGTTACAGTGTGGGTCACAGGTTACAGAGTGGGTCACAGGTTACAGTGTGGGTCACAGGTTACAGTGTGGGTCACAGGTTACAGTGTGGGCCACAGGTTACAGTGTGGGCCACAGGTTACAGTGTGGATCACAGGTTACAGTGTGAGGTACAGGTTGCAGTGTGGGTCACTGGTTACAGTGTGGGTCATAGGTTACAGTGTGGGTCACAGGTTACAGTGTGGGTCACAGGTTACAGTGTGAGTCACAGGTTACAGTGTGGGTCACAGGTTACAGTATGGGTCACAGGTTACAGTGTAGGTCACAGGTTACAGTGTGGGTCACAAGTTAGTGTGGGTCACAGGTTACAGTGCGGGTCAGGGTTACAGTGTGGGTCACAAGTTAATGTGAGTCACAGGTTACAGTGTGGGTCACAGGTTACAGTACAGGTCACAGGTTACAGTGTAGGTCACAGGTTACAGTGTGGGTCACAGGTTACAGTGTGGGTCGCAGGTTACAGTGCGGGTCAGGGTTACAGTGTGGGTCACAATTCACAGTGTGGGTCACAGGTCACAGTGTGGGTCACAGGTCACAGTGTGGGTCACAGGTTACAGTGTGGGTCGCAGGTTACATTGTGGGTCACAGGTCACAGTGTGGGTCACAGGTTACAGTGTGGGTCACAGGTTACAGTGTGGGTCGCAGGTTACAGTGTGGGTCACAGGTTACAGTGTGGGTCACAGGTTACAGTGTGGGTCACAGGTTACAGTGTGGGCCACAAGTTAGTGCGAGTCACAGGTTACAGTGTGGGTCACAGGTTACAGTGTGGGACAAAGGTTACAGTGTGAGTCACAGGTTACAGTGTGGGTCACAGGTTACAGTGTGGGTCACAGGTTACAGTGTGGATCACAGGTTACAGTGCGGGGTCACAGGTTACAGTGCGGGGTCACAGGTTACAGTGCGGGGTCGCAGGTTACAGTGTAGGTCACAGGTTACAGTGTGGGTCACAGGTTACATTGTGGGTCGCAGGCTACAGTGCGGGTCACAGGTTACAGTGTGGGTCACAGGTCACAGTGTGGGTCGCAGGTCACAGTGTGGGTCACAGGTCACAGTGTTGGTCACAGGTTACAGTGTGGGTTGCAGGTTACAGTGTGGGTCACAGGTCACAGTGTGGGTCACAGGTTACAGTGTGGGTCACAGGTTAGTGTGGGTCGCAGGTTACAGTGTGGGTCACAGGTCACAGTGTATGTCGCAGGTTACAGTGTGGGTCACAGGTCACAGGTCACAGTGTGGGTCACAGGTCACAGTGTGGGTCACAGGTTACAGTGTGGGTCGCAGGTTACAGTGCGGGGTCACAGGTTACAGTGTGGGTCACAGGTCACAGTGTGGGTCACATGTCAAGGTGTAGATTATGTGATAAGTTTGGGTCGCATATCAAGATTCAGATCGCTGGACTAGATGCAAGTCTGAAGTCTTGTTGCAGGTCTTAAGTCTTGTTGTAAGTCTGAAGTTTTTTTGCAAGTATGAAATCTTGTTGCATGTCTTAAGCCTTGTTGCAAGTCTGAAGTTTTGTGAGTCTGAAGTCTTGTTGCATTTCTTAAGTCTTGCTGTAAGTCTGAAGTCTTGATGCGTGACTGAGATTTCGTTGCAAGTCTGAAGTCTTGTTTCATGTCTGAAGTGTTTTTGCAAGTCATAAATTATCGCTGAGATGACTTACCATGAAGATGCTGCAGTAGGTGATGATGAAGGTGATGATGAAGGTGATGATGAAGGTGATGATGAACGTGACAAACAGAGAAGCGTCTCGTTGAGCAGGTACACAGTGAGGAAGACAAACCAGAAGACGAGCAAGACAATGAAGGTGAAAACAACAGGTGGAGGGTCACATTGAAGGTGAAAACAACGAGTGGAGGGTCACACTGAAGGTGAAAACAACAGGTGGAGGGTCAAACTGAAGGTGAAAACAACAGGTGGAGGGTCACACTGAAGGTGAAAACAACAGGTTGAGGGTTACAGTGAAAGTGTACACCACAAGAGAATGATGGTGAGTTGGTACCTTGGCTTGCAGCAGCTGTAGTTCGTGCAGCAGAAGTGCTGTCCTGGCTTGTGCCTCAGCGAGGGCGGTCTGCGTGGCGCGCTTCTCACAGCGCTCGGCCTCCCAGTCGTCACGGTGAGCGCGGACCTGCGGAGATACACACTACTATCACACTTGAGAAATGGTATGGTGGTATCGACAAGATGTTGAATAAGATACTTGTGTACAGTTCTGGACATTTATTAGAGGTAACTCTCGGCCAGGAGTGGCTTTAATAGTACTGAGGAAGCCACTCCTGACTTTAATAGTACTGAGGAAGCCACTCCTGGCTTTAATAATACTGAGGAAGCCACTCCTGGCTTTAATAGTACTGAGGAAGCAACTCCTGGCTTAATAGTACTGAGGAAGCCACTCCTGGCTTAATAGTACTGAGGAAGCCATCCTGGCTTTAATAGTACTGAGGAAGCCACTCCTGGCTTTAATAATACTGAGGAAGCCACTCCTGGCTTTAATAGTACTGAGGAAGCAACTCCTGGCTTTAATAGTACTGAGGAAGCCACTCCTGGCTTTAATAGTACTGAGGAAGCCACTCCTGGCTTTAATAGTACTGAGGAAGCCACTCCTGGCTTTAATAATACTGAGGAAGCCACTCCTGGCTTTAATAGTACTGAGGAAGCCACTCCTGGCTTTAATAGTACTGAGGAAGCCACTCCTGGCTTTAATAGTACTGAGGAAGCCATTCCTGGCTTTAATAGTACTGAGGAAGCCACTCCTGGCTTTAATAGTGCTGATGAAGCCACTCCTGGCTTTAGTACTACTGAGAAAGCCACTCTTGGCTTTAATAGCACTAAATAAGCCATTCTGGCATCAATAGTACTAAAGAAGCCACTTCTGGCTTTAATAGTACTAAGCCACTCCTAGCCAAATATTTCGTATAATAAATGTCCTGAAGTATATATTTCTTGAATTGTCTTTATAAAGTTAAGACACATGTGCAACATCTGGCTATCTTTATTGTAGATGTTTCGCCATCCAGTGGCTTTATCAATACAGATTCTAGGACATAATAGGAAGACAGTAGAACTATATACAAAAGATGAGGTAATCAGTCCCTCGGCCTTGGAGTTAGTGTTCACAGCATCGTGAACACTAACTCCAAGGCTGAGGGACTGATTACCTCATCTTTTGTATATAGTTCTACTGTCTTCCTATTATGTCCCAGAATCTGTATTGATAAAGCCACTGGATGGCGAAACGTCTACAATAAAGATAGCCAGATGTTGCACATGTGTCTTAACTTTCATATTGTCGGTATTTTATACCTTTCTTGCACAAATTGTCTTTATAATTAGTGACTAATACACACACACACACACACACAAACACACACACACACACACACACACAAAACACACACACACACACACACACATCAAGCACCGATGGATGCTGATCAAACACCGATGGAATTTTGATTAGCTGGAGAGAGGAGACAGCGGAGAATAAAGTGATTACATAGCGGGAACGCTTCACTCTGGAGGTCCCAAGGTGGTAATTGCAGTGATGTATAGCCCACCACAGAACAGCATTAGACCAGGGCAAGAGTATGACGAGAGCAATAGAGTGATGGTTGACACACTGGCTGCAGTGGCCAGAAGAGCTCATGCATGCAGGGCAAAGCTCCTGATAATGGGTGACTTTAACCACAAGGAGAACGACTGGGAGAACTTGGAGTCACATGGGGGCCAAGATACATGGAGGGCTAAGATGATGGAGGTGGTACTGGAAAACTTCATGTACCAACGCGTAAGGGACACTACAAGAGAGAGAGGAGAGGATGAACCAGCAAGACTGGACTTAGCATTCACCTTGAGTAGTGCAGATATTGAGGATATCACATATGAAAGACCCCTTGGGGCCAGCGATCATGTGGTTTTGAGCTTCGAATACACAGTAGAGCTACAAGTGGAGGGGGAAGCAGGAAGGCCAGGACGAATGAAGCCAAACTACAAGAAAGGGGACTACACTGGAATGAGGAACTTCCTGAATGAGGTTCAGTGGGACAGAGAACTGGCAGGGAAGCCAGTTAATGAGATGATGGAATATGTAGCAACAATGTGCAAGGAGGCTGAGGAGAGGTTAGTACCTAAGGGAAACAGGAATAATGAAAAAGCCAGGATGAGCCCATGGTTCACCCAAAGGTGCAAGGAGGCAAAAACCAAGTGTGCTAGGGAATGGAAGAAATATAGAAGGCAAAGGACCCAGGTGAATAAGGAGAGCAGTCGTAGAGCCAGAAACGAATATGCGCAGATAAGAAGGGAGGCCCAACGACAATATGAAAACGACATAGCAGCAAAAGCCAAATCTGACCCGAAGCTGTTATACAGTCACATTAGGAGGAAAACAACAGTCAAGGACCAGGTAATCAGGCTAAGGAAGGAAGGAGGAGAGACAACAAGAAAAGACCGTGAAGTATGTGAGGAACTCAACAAGAGATTCAAAGAAGTGTTCACAGAGGAGACGGAAGGGGCTCCAGAAAGACGGAGAGGTGGAGCACACCACCAGGTGCTGGACACAGTACACACAACCGAGGAAGAAGTGAAGAGGCTTCTGAGTGAGCTAGATACCTCAAAGGCAATGGGGCCAGATAACATCTCTCCATGGGTATTGAGAGAGGGAGCAGAGGCGCTATGTGTACCCCTAACAACAATATTCAATACATCTATCGAAACAGGGAGATTGCCTGAGGCATGGAAGACAGCAAATGAAGTCCCAATCTTTAAAAAAGGAGACAGACATGAAGCACTAAACTACAGACCAGTGTCACTGACATGTATAGTATGCAAAGTCATGGAGAAGATTGTCAGGAGAAGAGTGTTGGAACACCTAGAAAGGAATGATCTCATCAACAGCAGCCAACATGGTTTCAGGGAGGGGAAATCCTTTGTCACAAACCTACTGAAGTTCTATGACATGGTGACAGCAGTAAGACAAGAGAGAGAGGGGTGGGTGGATTGCATCTTCTTGGACTGCAAGAAGGCGTTTGACACAGTTCCACACAAGAGATTAGTGCAAAAACTGGAGGACCAAGCAGGGATAACAGGGAAGGCACTACAATGGATCAAGGAATACTTGTCAGGAAGACAGCAGCGAGTAATGGTACGTGGCGAGTTGTCAGAGTGGGCACCTGTGCCAAGCGGGGTCCCACAGGGGTCAGTCCTAGGACCAGTGCTGTTTCTGGTATTTGTGAATGACATGACGGAAGGAATAAACTCCGAGGTGTCCCTGTTTGCAGATGACGTGAAGTTGATGAGAATTCATTCGATCGAAGACCAGGCAGAACTACAAAGGGATCTGGACAGGCTGCAGACCTGGTCCAGCAATTGGCTCCTGGAGTTCAATCCCACCAAGTGCAAAGTCATGAAGATTGGGGAAGGGCAAAGAAGACCGCAGACAGAGTACAGTCTAGGGGGGCCAGAGACTACAAACCTCACTCAAGGAAAAAGATCTTGGGGTGAGTATAACATCAGGCACATCTCCTGAAACGCACATCAACCAAATAACTGCTGCAGCATATGGGCGCCTGGCAAACCTCAGAACAGCATTCCGACATCTTAATAAGGAATCGTTCAGGACCCTGTACACCGTGTACGTTAGGCCCATATTGGAGTATGCGGCACCAGTTTGGAACCCACACCTAGCCAAGCATGTAAGGAAACTAGAGAAAGTGCAAAGGTTTGCAACAAGACTAGTCCCAGAGCTAAGAGGTATGTCCTACGAGGAGAGGTTAAGGGAAATCAACCTGACGACACTGGAGGACAGGAGAGATAGGGAGGACATGATAACGACTTACAAAATACTGAGAGGAATTGACAAGGTGGACAAAGACAGGATGTTCCTGAGACTGGACACAGCAACACGGGGACACAGTTGGAAGCTGAAGACGCAGATGAATCACAGGGATATTAGGAAGTATTTCTTCAGCCACAGAGTAGTCAGGAAGTGGAATAGTTTGGGAAGCGATGTAGTGGAGGCAGGATCCATACATAGCTTTAAGCAGAGGTACGATGAAGTTCATGGTTCAGGGAGAGTGACCTAGTAGCGACCAGTGAAGAGGCGGGGCCAGGAGCTTGGACTCGACCCCTGCAACCTCAACTAGGTGAGTACACACACACACACACACACACACACACACACACACACACACACACACACACACACACACACACACACACACACACATACACACACACACACACACACACACACACACACACATACACACACATACACACACACACACACACACACACACACACACATATACATACATACATACAGTACATATACACGCATGTAGTATCCATATGTACATTCATACATGCACAAATGTGTGCATACATTCATTCAACTATACACTCATACATATACACATATATACATACACACAACATTTATATTATTCACTCAATAGGTTATTGGAAGATCTGTTGAAGAGGAGTGAAATAAACGATGGAATGTGAAACCCGGGGTGACAACCTCCTGAGAAACATAACAAGGGAAGAAAGAATGAATAATGCATATAAAAACTAAAAAACTAAAAGAGAAAAGGAATGAAGAGAGTGAAAAAATTATAGAGGGAGGAAAAGGGGGAGATCTGCATACAAGGAGAGGTGTATGTCGCTCAGTGTAAATACTGTATTCTGGGAGTTTACATAAATCCCTATTTTAAGGACGGAGGTATTCTGGACTGCTGGAGTACAGATTACACGTGTAATCTGTACTCCTGTAATTGTTTCCTCCTGTAATTGTTTCCTCCTGTAATTGTTTCAACCCTGAAACCAATTCCTTTAAATTTATTCTCCGTGAAAGTTCACTCTGTATGTAATTTCTTACTGCAAATAATTTCATATTTCTCAGAATTTAATCACCTTAATAAAATTCATTTGTAAGTGAAGAAATAAGCGAAATATTAATAATTTAAAACCGTATTGCTAGCAAGGAGTGTCGTGGCGTCCTTCAAGGTACCTTCGCCCCTCAGAAAAACATTATACTTTTCTGTGCTGATGTCGGATCCGTGAGTTAAATACCGATCAACATCGTTCCTTGACTTGTAACACCATCTACATAACATGCAGTGTCATGAG